ATCAGGCAGGGCAAAAAAACAACAACCGTGAACAATTAACTATGAAAAAATAAATCAAACATTCAACGATCTTCGATATCTAATTTCTATAAGCAAAAATCCATACAGACAGCGATTCATATAAATAGACATGTATTCATTCCATTAATTTCCATGTAATGTCCACAATTTCAAAAACCACTCCAAAACCACACAAAATTGCTGAGCTCTGATCAAAGTAATTAGTCCAATAAAGGGCATAGTGCCATGAAGAAAGGATTATAATGCTTATTCCCTTTTGTAAACAATTTTTCACAAGATAGTTACTGAAGAGTAGTGATACAATGAATGGTAGTTTGTTCTTCAAGGGTCTTAATAACTTTCAAGGACACCGTCGTTGGGTTCTCCACCCAATGACGGTGTCCTTGAAAGTATCTTGTGAAAAATTGTTTGCAGTAATAGTTAATTCTTCATGGGCTGCGATCGCACATACAAGTGGCCACGCCATAGGCGCGAATGTGTCAGGGTTCGATAGATCACACCATACAGCGCTTCATAAGAGGTATTCTGTTTATTGGTAGTTCATAACTATGACACGTGAACTTCTTTTGTCAGCTAAAGCAGCAAGGCACCCTGAGTTATAGTAGTTTAAAAAAAAAACCCATTATTGTGCGCGCATTGTGCACGCGCGCGTAGGAGAATAGAAAGCGGGCAAAATAGAGAAGCCATTTGTTCCCAGCAGATCAGGAGCAGCTGGAAGCCCAAGGTCAAAAAAGCATAAGCAGATAACAACCCAGACAGGAGGCATTGTTAGTGTACCAGGCTGAGGAATCTTCCACACACACACACATTCCAGGGAAATGGCAGTGTCAACTGACTGAATGACGGGCGGATTTAATGGGTGTGATCAGATGTGAACGTCTGGCCAGCGCCCTGCACCCGTCGGCAACCCGTTTTGCTCCGCCACAAGAGCGGAGTTAAAAGACACTAGGGAAAGTCCACTGTCAAACGGGTTGCTACGGGCCACGGGCGGACGGACTTTTTCCTGTGTGATTGGGCCAGCGCGCTCTCACGCATCCCGACTCTGTGCCGTTTCCCCCCCCCCTTCTCAGTATGCACATCATTGCATACTGCCATAGGAAGCCCTCGGTGTGGAGATGCGATTCATCGATCCCCTGTTTAAGCGCATCGGAAACACGCAGCAAAAGAGAAACCCAACTCACCCGCGGTTTGCTCCTGATCATGCGGTGGTGGGCTGCCCCTGCAGCTCCCACGGGCCGTGTGATCGCGCAAATGTGGGTCAGATTGCTACGGAGCAAATGGCCTCGCTTCCCCCCCCCCCCGCATTATCTCGCCCGTGTGACCACAGCCATGGTTGCCTTTTTTTTTGCCTTGCCTGATCTTATTTCCTCCAGGGGAACTGATCTCGGTCAGGAGCTCAGCTGTAATTCCAGGAGGTTGGCAACCCTAGCTACAAGCATCCAGCGGGAGCACACAGGTCCTGTCAGTGTTGTCCAGTTGTGTTGATTTTTGCATTTTGTGTGTGTGTGTGAGGGTGACCGTGCCTGGAAGTTATGGCAGCCTCAGGTGACTCCTACTGGGGCGTGGAGGATGTTCAGGGAAGTGGCATGGGTAGCCTGCCGCTGCCTCCAGGCCCTGGTATTCTTTAGAGGTCTCCCATCCAGGTACTTGCTGGGGTCGGCCCTGCTTAGCTTCCGAGATCTGACGGGATTGGGCTAGCGTGGGCTATCCAAGTCAGCAGGGCTCTTTTTGTAGAAAAAGCCCAGCAGGAACTCATTAGCATAACAGGCCACACCCAACAGCAGGACCTCATTAGCATAGTAGGCCACACCCCTGATAGCACAGCTCATTAGCATATTGGGCCACACCCCCGTGTTGCCAGAAGTGTGGTCATCCAGCCACACCCACCTTTTGCTTTTTATTCTGTTTACCTTGTTTGTTGTCAAAACCCAGGGTTTTTTTTGTAGCAGGAACTCCTTTGCACGTTAGGCCACACCCCCTAACGTAGCCAATTCCAATGACTTTCTGCTGTTGGGTGTGGCCTGTTATGCTAATGAGCTCCTGCTGGGCGTGGCCAACTCAGGAGCCAGGCGGAACTCCGTTCCTGCCCAAAAATAGCCCTGCAGGTCAGGGCATCCAGTTGTTTTTTAAGAGAAAAACTGGGGAAGAAGAGAGAGAGAGAGGAGGAAAAAATGAGGTGGGAAGGGAGGAGAGTCAAACAGGTATCAATTAAATTTTACCGGTTAAACTAAGTGGAGATGAGAAGCAAAAGCGGTCAAAAATAAGTCAGGGAAAACGAGTGAAGACATCACTGGTAAATTGCGATGCTCCCTCTAAGCTGCGGAGTCTTGTGAGCAAAAATTCTGCTTTGTGAGCTGCTGGCCTTAAACTTGTGAGCAAGTGATTTGGCTGCTGCATAAATTAGTTTGCTCTGGAGCCCTCCTTTCTGAGCTAAGACAAAAATGTGTGAGCCGGAGGCTAAAAAACTGAGCTAGCTCACACTAACTCAGCTTAGAGGGAGCACTGGTCACATGCGCCTTTAGATCTGACATAGTCACAAACGCCTGACGGATCTAAAGGGTACGACCAGACAACAACATCTGGGAAAGATCCCGCAGTTGTCGGCAACCCGTGCTGCTCTGCCAGAGAAGCGGCGTTAAAAGACACGGGTGAAAGTCCGGTCCCGATGCTTCCCGACGGACTACAGATGGGCTTTCCCCTGTCCGATCGCTCAAGCACGCTCTCAAGCCGTTGGGGTGGTCTGATCATCCCATCCTGACTTGGTGCCATCCCCCCCCCCGCTTAGCAGTATGCGCATAATCGCATACTCCATGGGGAACCCTCAGTGTGGAGGTGCACATGGGAAACAAATTGCGAAAAAGCACTTGCACGTGGTGGCGTCCGATCACACAGCGACGGGGTGAGCCCACAGCACAAAAGGGTGTGTCATCTCGCAACTGCAAGTCAGATTCCTCCGGACGAAATAGGGGCGCCTCCCCTCCGCTCCAAATGGTGCGTGTGACCGCAGTCTCTCTAAAATAGCCCATCACTTGTCAGCCAGTATATATGAAATAATTAAAAGTGTTGCTAAGATTAGAATGATAAACAATTAAAAAAACTTAAAGAATGATACTTAGCATTTGTGTCAACGCATACTGGTGTAATGTTTCACGCCTGTTATTTTGTTGCACTCCTTACAAGAAACCTGTAAGGTAGGTCAGTGTTGTTATCCTCCTATTGCAGGCAAGAGGCCGAGGCTGCATTTGTGATGGGCACGTACAAACAACTCGTTTTGCGGTTCGCACACACTCCCTGTGTGCAGAGTGTAACGGAAGGCTTCTGAGTTTGGGAAATCTTGACTCATGTTCCCGTCACTGTCTTGTTATATTTTGGACAATTATAACCTGCTGAGAGCCAGTTTGGTGTAGTTGTTAAGAGCGGCGGACTCTAATCTGGAGAATGGGCTTCGATTCCACATTTCCCCACCTGATGCTAGTTGGGTGACCTTAAGCCAGTCACAGCACTCTCAGCCTAAAAATAAGCATAGCTTGCCACCTAGTGGTGCCAAAAAAGAGATACAGCTTCGGCAGCCAAACAGATCCCTTCTGGGATCTCCTGGCTATTCCACACACAATGCCATGTGATGATTAATTCATTTATAACCTGCTTTTCTCCCCAATTGGGACCCAAAGTGGTTTCCAACGTTGTTCTCCCATCCTGCCCAGAGTCACCCAACAAGCTTCCATGCAGAGCTAGCGTTCAAACCCGGGGCTCCCAGATCCTAATCCAGTGCTCTAATCTCTATGCCACGGTCCAGAGGCAGATGCCTGGACAAACTGGACTGAGTTTCCTTCGCACCTGCCCAGACTGCAAAACACCCATTGAAAAAAGGCAGTCCAATGATCGGAGTGGCTTGCTTAGAGCCATCGACTGAATCATAGCAGAGGGGAAATTTGAAATATGATCTTCCTGGTTTATAACTCTGGGCCCTAAACTATAACAGAAAGATGGGTGGGGGGAATGGAAAAGTGGGAAATGGGAAACCTGACTCCATTCAGTGGGATTTATAGTTCAAAAGTCGTTTTTATATATGGGAACGGATCTGATACTAAATTATTATGTTATTATAACTGTTGATGTATATTGAAAACTTTGTTGGTGATTAACTGGCTGGTTTGTAATTTTGGATTCTCAGGACTTTTGTATACTGTTTTGCAGTTATTGTACATGTTATAAGTTATGCTTGATCTTAATAAACGTTTTAAAAACCAAACCCTCCCCCCGAAAAGTGGGGGGGGCATATATCTGGTTAAAAAAAAAATTGGTCCCATGCAATGTCCCCTCTAAGCCATGGAGTCCTGTGAGCAAAAATTCTACATCGCGAGCTACTGGCATTCAAGTTGTGAGCGAGCGATTTGGCTACTGCATACATTAGCTTGCTCTGGAGCCCTCCTTCCTGAGCTGAGACAAAAAAATGTGTGAGCCAGAGGCTACAAAACCGTGAGCTAACTCACACTAACTCAGCTTAGAGGGAACACTGGTCCCATGTCCCATATTGAAGATGGGCCAAGATTTTGAAAAGATTGAAGGCCTTTCCCCCCCCATGATTCGGAATTAACTTCCAAAATTTGATGCCTCAGGATTTTAGACGTAGACGAGTTGAAAAGGGGGGGGGAGTGGTCAAATGTATCATCTGTCAAAGGATATTAGCTGTGCAAGCTACCGGTAAGTGAAACCTCCAGGTTCTCAATAAAGAGATTAAAAAAAGAGAAACCTCCAGGTTCAGAGGCAGCCTACTTCTGGCCAGAAGCTTTGCTCTGATCCAGCAGGGCTCTCCTTGTGTTCTAAGTCCTTCTGTGGGAAAGACAGCCTGTTCGTGAATGAAGCCAGTAAATGAACCAGACTGCTGCTCTAACATCCTTCCTGTTTTTCTCATTCTCTGTCTCCCGCCTGTTTTGCTTCGCTTTGATGATGGGTCCCCCACCCCGGTCACCTCCCAGAGTGACGTCGCGCTCCTGGCTGAGCACAGGCTGGTTCACCATGGTGATCGCTGTCGAGCTGTGCGACAGAGTTCATGTTTATGGGATGGTCCCCCCTAATTACTGCACGTAAGTAACGCCCTCTCCAGCCGACTGTCTCGTGAGTTTTGAGCCTTGCTGCCTCAGGCCGCTTCATCCTGTGTCTTTTGCTCCTCCCCCCTCCGCAGTCGTAAGAACCCCCTGCCCCGCAAGATGCCGTATCATTACTACGAGCCGAAGGGCCCGGACGAATGCTTCACCTACATCCACAACGAGCGGAGCCACCGGGGCAACCATCACCGGTTCATCACCGAGAAACGGGTCTTTGCCAACTGGGCAACCCTCTACAACATCACCTTCTCCCACCCGGACTGGGATTAGCCCAGCACAGAAGTGCCGAGGGCACACGACGTGCCAAACCCTCCTGCTCCGGCGGGGGGAGTCAGTGGGGCTGCGGCCGCCTCTCCGCATCCAAAAATAGGAACCCTTGGAGCGAAGAAGCTGGTCTGGCGGCCGAGGGCTTCGGATGGCCACCCACCGTCCGAGGGGGAACCAGAGCGACAGCCCGCCTTTCTGACACCCACAGACCCACTGAATCAAGTGGACCGCCCAGCCAGTTCAGCGTCCCGTTGGATTCCAGGAAGTCCAAAAACCAGGTGTGGACGCAGCAGCCTTCTCCCCACTCTCAACTGTATTCTGTTTCTGCACACGGGAGGTTCCCTCTAGCTATCCTAGTAGAAGCTCCTCCCACCCTTCTACTCAGATGTCAAAATGCAAGAGGGGAACTAGCTGGTACAGAGAAGGAACGACGGGAGACTGGGGCGTCCTGGAAGGGGTGTGTCATCTCGCTCCCACTTTCCCCCCTCCTGGCTCGCTCACTGAGGTGGCTTCCCAATTCTGGTCTGGACCTGGCCAAAGAGAAGCCCCCCAGCTGCTGCCGCTAACCCCGCTAGAGCTTTACCAGCCCCACTCCAAGAGCAGGGCGCCACGACATCGGCAGGAGGAGGAGGGCGTGGCTCTCGGGGGCAGCGAGGGCTCGCCCTCAAACTGCCTGTCGAGGTCCCCGGTTTAACGTGCGTTTTCATAGAAGCTCGAGCAGAGGCAGCGGAGAGGCCAGCGGCTTGTCCACGGCCGCTGACCGAGTACGAGGCAGAGGGGAGGCCCAGGCCTAAAGCCCCCACCCTCCCAAATCTCCCAGGCTTGCAGATGAAAAAGGAAGATCCCATTCAGACCGCCTCGCCAAGCAATGTGCTTTCCCACCCAGCCTGTCGTTAGCATTGCCAGATGGGGTGGAGATGGCAACTAGTTTGGGTACTTTTTGAAAGGGCCGGTCCGAGAGGCCGGCCAGGCGTTATTCACGATGATAAATAAGTGGAACCTCCCTCATCAGAGGCAGTGAATCTCTGAAAACCAGGGGGTCATTAAAAAAACAAACCCGGGGAAAGTAGCAGCCTTGTTGCCCCGCTTGTAGGTTTCCAGGGGTATCTGGCTGGGCCAGATTCCCTGCGACCCGAATGAATCCCCACCCCCCACCCCCGATCGTCCCCAATTAATCGCACCCTTTATTTTACTTTGGATTTTTAAATCCAGACTAAGCACCGCCTTTATGATGGTGCTTTTTCGTCACTTCTGTAGCGTTTCTTCCAGTTCAGAGACATGTTTGGCCATTCTTGTACAATCACAATTAACCCTAAAAGGTTGGTTTAGTTTGGGCAAATGAATACAGTTTGAGGTATAGTTCTGAGGCTGCTTTTTCTGAAAGCTTTTTTTTTTTTTTTAAAGGAGGTCAGGAGTGGGTAAAGGGAGGTATTCACCTCCTCCTTGCCAGCCACTTGTCTGCTCAAATCATGCCCCCCCCTGTTTTTCTATGTCGTTTCACTTCTGCCGAGAGCTGACCCACCCCTACTGAGCTCCAGGACCGAGATCGGAACTCGGTTCTCTTGACCAAACTTAGCATTCCTTCCCCTGCCTTGCACTGTCTCTAGCCTGTTCACTCTCTGTATGCACAATCACTACCACGCAGTCAGATTTGCTCTCCACACCTCCACCTGCACTGAATGGGCTGGAGGAGAAAGGAAACCCACCCCCCACCCCCGGCCACTCACACTGGCCTCGGCTGGGCAGACAAAAGGTCGGCGAACAGGTAACGATTTGGCACCGAATTGTCGCGAGGCCGCTGCTGTTTGATGCCTCTGCCTTCCTCCCGCTCCCCCCATTAAGCCATTCTGCCCTTAGCAACTCTTTGCAAGATCACCATGGCAACTCTTCACTGCCAGCGGCTGAGCTGGGGTTTTTTTTTGCTCTCTGAAGGGCCAGCGATGCCAATTTACAACTTACGCTTCCAGGTTTGCTCGGGTTTTTGTACTCAGGCACAGCTGGGTGCCGAGTCCGAGTTTTCCATCGGACTTATTTTTCTGAGCGGGCCGGCTGAGGCTACCCCCACCCCCACCCTCTAGGGTTTGGGCTGGAAGGAGCCCTCCCGCAGGTGTTAACGCAAACCTCCACAGCCTCCTTATCACTCCGCGGCATCCTTGTTTGCACCGGGGATGGCGTCAGAGCCCCGACACCGAGGCCCAACAAACACCACCCGATGAGCTACAAATGCTGCTGCGAAGGGGGTGATAATGTTTTTTTCGTTCCCTCTTATCTCCAAAGCGGGTCACTAGTCAAAAGCCAGGGGGGAAGACGCTTCACAAAGAAAATCCAGATAGACTTGTTCGCGGATTCCTGCTCAGGATACAGAGTTGTACCCCCGTCATCTGCCTTAACAATAATCAGACCTGCTCTCTGCTGTGTGATTTGCCAGCTATCTCATGTGTCCATCTTTATGGTGGCTTAACCAGCTTTCACATGTTGACCTGAGGGCCCCCCCTGTCCTCACAGGGAGGGGGAGATGCTGCGAGGCCTTCCCCAGGCTGCTGCTATCGTTTCTTGTTCTAACCTGTCGTCAATGCCGGGAGGAGAGAGGAGCTATCCCAGGTGATATGCAGGGGAGCTAATCTACCTGTTTCTGTATCTGCATGTTAGGTGACATCCAAGGGGGTCCGTAGACGTCTAACTCCGGATGAGTAGACAAGGCTCCAAAGACTTGGCTGCCGGGTCCTTTCTCAATTTGTCGCCAGCTTTGAATAACCTCGCCATGCCTCAGTCCCGCCCTCTGTAAAATGGGGTCGGGGAGAAAAGCTATCCGACCAGATTGGGGGGGGGGGGAGGTTATCAAATTTCCCTTTCATGATCCTGTCCAGAAAACTGTGGAAGCCACAGAAGGCTGTTGATACTTCGAGGCTTGCCAAATTCGCAGTTATCTGCACTCACGCTGGCACTCAGAAAAGGGCTTTGCGTCTGCGAATCTGGTTATGCACCTCCAGTGTGTTTAAAACCCAGCATTGGAACAAAGGGTGAGGGTTTTATCTTATAGCCGCCTCCACCATAGGAACTGCTGCTTGCCCTGGCTGTAAGCTACTGCGGCCGTATGAAGGCATGCGCAGAACTGCGGGCAGGACAGGCAGCTCACAGTTGGCACGAAGGGCGGCTATCGCAACTGTGCCAACTGCAGGCATGGGCTTTTGGCTAGCTTTTGATATAGACCAGCTTTGGAGTGAGCAAAAGATGAAACAAAAATGACCAAAGCCACCTTTGCATGTGGGAATTCAAGGTGCATAGAGTTGCATCATGCCACTTTATTTGGGTTCCTTTCCTTTCGTTGCACCTCTCACGTCTCCTTCCCTTAGGCCTAGTGGTTAATCTGCGTCGAGGCAGAATGACTTCAGACTGGAGTAGAAGCTCACATGTTGGAATGCATCCTTGAGAAAAATGTCCCCGCATGTAGAAAACTAGCTTGTCAGGGTGGGAGGCGAGGCAAGAACTCTTGACCTTGATGTGCTAGTTTTCTATACAAAGTGGATTTTGTTACATAGAGGAGCATTCTATCATGGGAGCCCTCGTCTGGAGCCTGAAATAACACTGCTGTAGCGTGAAAAGTAAGCCTAAAGACCCATGAAGAGTGAGAAGAGAACTAATCCCTGTGACCCATATTTAAGGGTGGGGCATGAGGATGGTCAGCTGTGTAATGTGTGAATGCCGCAGGGCTGTCAGTGGTGCAGAACTAGGAGAGGGGCGGCTACCTACATTGCCCCAGGTGTACACAGCTAACAAAATCTGGGATGGAGAAAACCCAATTCTTGGCTCTTTGCAAGATGTCACGTCCCGCGTTGTGTATATAGATAACTTGCTCCTAGTCCTCCTGAGTTATTGTGCAACTAGGGGATCTAAGTGCCAAATGTAGGATAGTCTCTTGTCTGAATGGCCCTGAGGGATACTTAAGGTACCCAGTTGGTCAGGCAAGGTTATATTTTTTATCAGTCACTTGTTTCTGTCAATCTAAAGAAGCACGCAAGCCTTCAAGTTACACGGAGCTCTTAATTAAAAGACTGCACATGACATGATGAAGCGTTCTGTGTAACGCGGAAGCTTGCAACAAAGTATACTGCCTTATCTATTAGCTATTGTCTCCTGTGGGACCAAAACGGTGACAATTGTCTTGATCACACTTGTGGACGATCAGACGTCTGGATGATTTGTAATCTTATTTACATATACTCAAAATAGATGTGTGCAGAACTAAAGCATAATTAAAGTGGACAATCCACGAACGTAGGGCTCATTTAGATTAGACCCAAGAGATCTGTGATCAGTCGAAGAGAAATCAAATCTATTAGCTCCCATAGGAGAAAAAGCAGGTTCCAAGTATCGACTCTGCTTTCAGTTTGAACTGCAAGTGTTTGTAGCTAATTGGCTATGTGGGACCTCATGGTAGGAACTGAAAGTAGTTTATTGTAGTATATTGTACATGAACAATGTTAAAGAGGAACACTTGGTCAGGATCAAGAGTGCCTTGATGATCTTTGTTGGTAGAATCGTCTAAAACATCTCTGCGGTTGGCAGAAAGTGTCTCAATAATCGGTCACTTCTTAGCTCAGTTCTTTTTGGGAGTTCCGTCCATGAGTCTTGCACCATTGATGAGAAGCAGTTAAATGTTGATGGAAGCATTGGTTCGCATGTGTGACTGTCTGCACACCAAATTGGAAAGGAGGAGAGTTTTGTAATTAATTTGTATGGAAATAAATATTGCTACATCTTTATCTTGCAGCATTTTCTTGTATTCCTTTTCTTTTAAATATACCCCTGAATCCGGTCCCTGTTACCTATCTCCTTGAAAATTCAAAATATTGTTGAATAGATCTTTATGTCTGACAGCAGCCAAGCTCACACATTAAGTTTCTCTTTACTCTGTACCCTTCATCTTTCCTTGTTCTCACTGACGCCCGAGTCTGAATAAATACATTCTCTCTGATCTGATACGATTAGGAAAAATAATATCAGATCGGAGAGAGTGTATGTATTCCGACAAAAGATCATAACAAAATAGGCAGACGTGTACGATTCAGAATGTCATATTCTCTTTTTTTAATACAGTCAGATTCTCATGTTGGTTTCTCTTTTTTACTTTTGCGATGCTGTTCTTTCACGCTGAACCTTTGTCACGAGATTTATTGTTTGCCATGTCCTGGAAATCCCAGCTGCATTCAGGCATCTTGAGAAACTGTGGTTTGTGAAACAAACTCCACTGTGGTCACACACACTCAATAATCCACTTTCAATGCACTTTCCAACTGGATTTTACTGGGTGAACTGGCAAAATCCAGTTGGGAAGTGGATTGAAAGTGGATTATTGAGTGTGTGTGACCACATCCATAGTTTATCAGATGCTACCGACAAATCTCAGTTTGTGCATAAACCCCAGATTGTCTGTTTTCTTGCCTTCCCATGCTCAGGAGCGACACTCCTTAATGTGGTCCACCCAGGACTTGAGCTCTTAACAATTAAAATGGCTTCTGAAGCTCAGTGCTTGCTTTTTAAAAGGACAGACCCTTAGGGCCCTAGCTTGCCTTGAAACTCTTGTGTCCAAATCCCAGGTGTCTGAGAAGTGACCGTGGTTACTCAGGGGTGAGGGAAATGTACTCTGCTCAAGCCCTGGGAAACGATTTACAGTCACTTTTTGTGTTGTCGGCATTGGGTCTGAACACTGGGTTGCCTTGACTCAAGTGAGCTGTGCTGAAGTCAAGTCCCGCTTCATACTAAGAGGGTTTTGGCTACTTCTTCCGTCGTTCCTCAAATCCTCACACATTTGGGTGACCGTTCTCCAAAGACGAAAAGCCCCCTGCACATCTGGCACAGAACAAGCCTACATTTCTCAAAAGGTGACCATACGAAACTGCCTTAGACTGGCTCGATTCAGCTATCACACCAGAACATGATTAAGGGGACTGGAGACTTGGTTGAACAAACCGTTCAACCCAAACCGTTCAACACATGGAATTCACTGCCACAGGGAGGGGTGGCGGCTACAAGCATGGACGGCTTCAAAAGGGAATTAGATAAGCATATGGAGCAGAGGTCCATCAGTGGCTATTAGCCACAAGGTATAGATAGGGACTCTGGGGCAAGTGATGCTCTGTCCTCTTGGTGCTTGGGGGGGTCAACAGTGGGAGGG